TCCCTCCCTTGAGTTTTAGAGACACCACGCTGATTTTACCTGGTAAGCTGGAGAAATGTACGCCACGCTTGTCTTGCTGGCGATCCCTGTGTCCGGTAGCTTCCGCCATGTTTGGAACAGCGGTGTGATACCAGCTGGCAGGGTGTAGCTCCACTGCAGGTCGGCGTTCGAACCCGCTGTGGCGTAAACGGTGCCGCCATCTTGGATTCCTGAAGGTCAAAGGATTCCAATTTGAAAAATGAATAACGTGGCTTAACTTGCGCAACTAAAACTATAAATGAAGAAGAATTTGGATAAAAATTGATGTACAGATTCATCAGTCGCACGTGTACACTGGGTCCTTCCATCACTAAATTGACCATTATGTCTGTTATACGAGCAATGTCATTGAACAAGCCTGCTCACAATTGAACTAACAAAGTAAGGGCACAATTCGACACCCTGGAGAGTTTGTGAAATATTAGATACTGACTCCAAAAGCCACTTATGTCACACACACTACAATCATCGAGGAAGAAAATAAAAGATGAACAGCACAGAGGCGAAGAAAAACGCCCCTGTGGCGTTGCCAAAAAGACGCGAGCAAAACATTACTAACGTTACCGTGAGAACCGCAAACACAGTCGGTATGTTATCTACACAGGGGTCAAAGTAGCAAAGATCAAAGGCTCCGACAAACCGACTTGTCTTGAGACAAACGACTGTAGGTGAATATTTTCAATCCACGCCAGTATAACAACAAGGTAGAAGATGAAGTCGTAGATTGTATTTTATACAGTAACGGGAGGGGTCCTAATTCCGACCTATGTTCCATGCAAACGCACATGCCTTTAGTAATGGTTTGTCTGACCCAAAACTCGCGCAACACGAGCTTTTAATATTTGTAGATAAAGATAACAACGATTGAAGCTAAACAGCTGTGTATTTTACTTCAGGTCAGCGCCTTGCACCCAAGCGTAATGGTTCGCGAAACTTACGGCATGTTTTTCGTCATTCTGCCGGTGGAACGTTCTATCGCAAAAGGGGTGCCCTAATTCCGACCTAGTATTTAACAAAGGTCAATCTGAGGAGAGAGTTTAGTATTTAAAATACACAAATTATGACTAAAACAATCTACAACTATTTTTCTGTCCCAAACAAGTCTTCTTTTTACCATGACGCGACTTGCTCCAAAGCGGCTGTTTCAAAATCAAAGCTGCGTTTTTTGACACGCTCGTCAACCACCGAACAAGCGTCTGTTATCGGAGCGTGCAAAGTGGAACAAACTTTGTGAGATTACCGATATCAACACAGAAACTTTGTCCATTCTTGTGGTTATTTATAGGCAAGTGCTCCCATGCATAATGCCGCGACAATGATTTTTCAAACTAGTACGGAATTAGGGGTATGTCGGAATTAGGGGCCCCCCGTTAATGATAGATAAATCTTTTTGAATATATTACAAGAACGTTTCCATGCTTGAAATCCTTGAGTAGTATTCAACAAGTCATATTTCTTATGCGCTTTTTTCATCCTGTATTGAATAGAACCATTTCAAAATTATAGTTTTAACATCACAAAGAAACGAGAAGCTGAACCTCTTTTAATAGAGTAGTTTTAGAGCTAATGTAGTTAGATTAGTATCAGTAGTCCTGTTTGTACTACAAACATGTATATACCTTATCATCTGTTCGCCTGTACTTAGCCCGATAGGGCATGAATGTACAATAAAGGTTATCTAATGTAAAAATACATCTTATCGACCGACGTCACATAATGTTTACAAGGCCCAGTAGAGCTTATTTTCTCACACTTTAATTGAAAGACAATCAACACAGCAGAAGTACATAAGAAAGAAGACAGAAGAAAGATGTCCAGACTATGCATGATGCACAAAATGACTAATAAACTGGTGGATGTCCCAACTACTAAGTACTAGTACCTAATACCTAACCCAGAAGAGAACAAGAAATAGCCATGCCTTCAAGTACCAGAGTTGAACTCACTGTCACCAAGTACAATAGGGGCATTGTCCATAGATAGCTTTAAACAATGTCTAGAGCTAGACGTTCAAGGGTTAGGTGTAACTAGTCGATCGGTGTAATATAGCCAGCTGTCGCCGCGCCGCGTGCCTGCGAAGCTGGTGTGTTACGCCGAAAGGCGGTTATACCGGCTATACAGATACAGAAGCTGGTGTGTTGCGCCGAAGGGCGGTTATACCGGCTATACAGATACAGAAGCTGGTGTGTTGCGCCGAAGGGCGGTTATACTTGCTATACAGATACAGAAGCTGGTGCGTTACGCCGAAAGGCGGTTATACCGGCTATACAGATATAGATACAGATACATAAATCGTGACTCCTGCATTGCGTTGACTTCTGAATTGTGCCTCCGATCAATAAAACACAGGACAAGCACAATACATACAAAAACACAATTTAGACATGAAAAAAAACTAAGCCTGCCCGTCTGACTAATATAACGTTACGGTTGGATGGCGAAGGAACTAGTTACACAGTCATGTTATGTATGTTTGTTTTTATGTTTGTCCGTGTCTTAGAGACCCTGATACATGTGTACCTCCGGAGTACCGTTAAGACCGACATGTGTATCAGGGCCTGACAACTGGTACCGAATCATGGAGTAGGTGACGTGGTTTTTATTATGTTCCATCATGTTTCTCCTTCTCCTGCAATTTCTTTAAATGGATTCATCTCTGTCATTTTTGGGCCAAATAACATGAAATTTAGCATGAAGGTAGAGTGGGCAAAAACTCACAGGCGTTTTTTTCTTTATTTTTTTGTTGTTGCCATTTTCAGAAAAAAAAATACATTTTGGGATATGGAGCCCTGGTAAGAAAACCAAATGACCTGAAATACCATGGGGATACCGTGGACATACGTCTACAAAACCTCATTCAAGCTTTTGACATAAACCACTTTAAAGACCAGTATAGACTATTGGCAGCCATCGTAGGATAGATCCATTTTTTGGGTATGGGGGATGTGGTGAAGCCATCTGCTGCATTTGCTCCCGAGCAAATGTCGGCCTTCCTAGTCTTCAGATAATATTTACGGATCGACCATTGACCACTTTTTAAAAGAGGAGGCAATGCCATCATTAATTCAGGTGAATATTTGTAGTTTTGCCGACACTGACCGGGCACTTTGCGGAGGGAAACTATCAAAAAAAGTACACATCGACTGGCATCATTTAGTTCGAGAGGTGTGTGTGGTGAAAGCTAGCCCTTGTCCTGCTGTGCGCAACATATGTCGCGCGGCACATACAGTACCATCTATATAGCACCCTGTATAGGTACGATTTGGGGGTATTTCTCGTGCAACGCATCACACCGCAGCGAAACGCAACGAATGCGGAAGTAACTATGCCACTGCAGGGCAAAAAAATTGAGGGTCTATGATCTAATTAAGACATGAAAATATTGAAAAATATTGTGCCAGGAAAGCCAGCAGGACAAGGGCTAGTTTTCTATCTGAGGTTAAGCTTATTCTGCGAGATTTTTATTTAACGCGTTTTAAGAGTTCCTCATTTTTTTTTGTTTTGTTACCTTTTCATGCCTATTGCACCAGATCCAATACACGCACAATCTCGGCAGGTGAATAGTATAGTCACTAGCCTAGAGGCCGCCTGGGCAATACGCCAGACAACGTGTATATTATTAACGTCCTGTCCTGAAGTGCTAACTAAACACGTACCTCATAGAGCTTGAATGCAATGTTTGACTTAACTTAGGCCAAAGCAAGTTATTTTTATGAATGACAACGCGCGCAAGGAGTTTCGCCTGATTTGGGGAAAAACAAGAAATTTTGTTGTCCTCTGACAGTGGTCAACATGCTGAAAATGGGCCAAGATGTCTGTTGCCATGCCGGAACGTGGATAGCAGATAACTATAAAGAGAGGAGACAAGACAAGGACAAGATAAAATGTTTCGTCTTTTACTTTGAAGCAGTGATGCATTTCATTCCTTTTATATGTGATGGTGGCTGTGTTTATAAATGTGTCGATCCCACTGGATCAAAACCATTTGTACAAATATGATTAAAATCTTTCATTTTTTTCAAAGTTGTTTCAGTGAGAAATGGATGTTGTAATAGTTGTCTATTAACTGAGCTAATATGTACTCTGCGGCGGATGTCATCCATAAAATTTACCTGCTGTGGCCTTATTAAACTTAGAGACAAGCAAGGTTTTATCAAACTGCACTTTGTCCGACTGAAATTCTTTGATTGCCGTGTACACTGTGATTGTGAAGTAGTGATCGATTGAAATGTTAGCCCATGTTGTGAGAATGAGAGCGCTCGGCTCGTCACCTGTCCGGTATTTAACCTTTCACTAAGCTCGTCGACTTAAGGCTCGATTGTAACGGTGAATAAAATGGTAGCAATTTATCATGAAAACCCTTTTAAAAGAGTTAGTGATTGTTAACACCGTAATCTTCTGATAGGGGCTGCCATTGTTAAGTGTTCAACTCGGATTTTGCGTTTGTGTACATTTTTTGTAGTCTCTACCAGGCTTCAGAAGCGTTAAGCGTCTGGAAAGAGTAAAAATTGGCTCTTCGTGTCTGGCAAACCATACTCCTTTAGTAGACCAACTCCCCTGGCATGTTATCTGTCTATTTTCCACTCTTTCCAGCCGCCACTGAAGCCTGGTAGAGGCTAACTTTTCGGTCGGACAAGCCATTCTCGTCCTACATTGCTTAATTTTATCACTTGATTTTCAGCGAGACAGTTGTTTTGATTAAATATTTCAAGGATAATTTTTTCTGTCACAAAACAGCTGAATTTTGAACGACAGTTCCAATGATTCACCTGTGGTTGTGTGTGTCACACATAGTTCAGTTGTAACAAAAAAAGTTATATGCAGTTTTGGCTACCATGGGTTGCATATCACCGACTGTTTAACACTGCCATAGTAATACCAACAAACTTGAAAGACTTATCTAATACAACGATGATCAAACCCTATTCTTTACTTCTCTATTATTTTCAAACCTGGATACAGGACAGTATACATTTAGGCGGTACCGCCGATTTAAATAATTCATTTTATCTAATAAGGTACATTTAAAACAGCAAAAAGCATTTGGATGATAAACAACAAACAGTGTCAAACAAACCTATATCTACAAGCGCTTGAAAAGGAGGAAAACAAGTGAATAGCAAAGTTCTTTCTATCACAACCATTTATTTTTCAAGCCGACGTTTCGATGACCTTCTGTCATCTTCATCAGGGCAATTCTGACTGGTTTACTTTGCACAGTCAGAATTGCCCTGATGAAGATGACAGAAGGTCATCGAAACGTCGGCTTGAAAATTAAATAGTTGTGATAGAAAGAACTTTGCTATTCAGTCGTTTACCAACCTGATGACAATATTTACAGAGGGAAAACAAGTTTGACAGTTTGCATGGTACTCTGTCCTGTTAATCTCACATGTTTGTCCGAGTCCGTTTCTGACCAGTGTTGCAGACAGTAAGCGGTAGAACCCATTGAAATGGGTAATTTTACGTAATTAGGCTCGTTTGAATTGTACGAAGCGCTAGAAAGGTACATATTAAGGTGTCAAGCAGCATCAAGCAAACCTAGAAGTGCTTAGAAAGAAGTAAACAATGAAAAATGACCAAGCTTGGCAGCTTGTCTCATAGTTTGTTTAGTTTGTCTCACCTGTTTGTCCGAGTCCGGTCCTGACCAGTGTTGGAGACAGGAACGCGACGATTAGAGTCGTCTGTAGCAGCCGACAGGCCGCTGGCATGTTGATCCGTGCCGTGTCTTCGTACGGTAACGGTTCGTAGTAGTTTTTCTGGATCAGAAGTTTGATGGTTCGAGTCCCGGGTTGTTTATATAATACTCGTCTTCAGCTTCGAACCCCAAAGTGCTCGCTCGTGTAAACTAAAATGGCATAGTTTCCGTGTTGGTTGTGTCTTCGTACGGTAACGGTTCACAATAAGGCTCTTCTGGATCAAAGGGTTGGTGGCTTGAGTCCCAAGTTGCTACTCGTCTGAGCTCCGATCCCCAAAGTGCTCGCTCGTGTAAACTAAAATGTCATGTTGATCCGTGGTGTTTCTTCGTACGGTAACGGTTCACAATATGGATATTCTGGATCAGAAGGTTGGTGGTTCGAGTCCCGGGTTGTTACTCGTCTCAGCTCCGATCCCTAGCCTGGTATGCTCGCTCGTGTAAACCCGCGTTTCCTTGTTTGAAAAGTGCCACACGCACCACTGGCACTGCGCACGAGAGTTTAAAGAGTTCACCACATTTCCTGACGAAAGTAGGGTGTGCCCACGTTGCACACAACTCTATCTCAACTCAAAATCTATTAGAGCTGATTGTTTGTAGCGTTTCAGAAGTCCAAGACCAGGACCTGTAGTGTTGGCGCTCCTGTCAACTCAAACACGTCGTTTCCTTGCTTGAAAAGTGCCACACAGGGTGTTTAGTCTACTGACGAATGTAGGGTGTGCCCACGCGTCGCACGCAACTCCTCAAAATCTATTAAAGCTGATTGCTGGTAGCGTTTTCAACTCCAAGACTAAGACCAAGACCTGTACTGTTGGCGCTAGCTCGTGTTAACTCATATCCGTCGTTTCCTTGCTTGGAGAACGCTGCTATCTAGCGCACGGGCGCTATTCAAGTCAAACCCAAAGAGACCACCACATTCCCTGTACGGTACCCACGCACGCACACGACTTCTAAATATTTATCAAAGTTTGCCTTCAACTGTAGATTTCTCAACTCCGTAGCCTGTCAACCAGACCACCGTGAGCTCTGCGCTATCCCTTCGGCGCCGAGAGCGTTTGGGGCCGCCAACCCGGCCTCAATTACTTAGGGGGCACAACAGAAGACTGAGCGTAATACAGGAAGTCAGCGGATACAGGGAAACCAGCTGGAGATAGGTCCGTGGTACAACTCGCCTGTGCTTGATAAAGGCCGGGGTCGAAAAATTACCGCCAAGCCGACCAAAGGTTTGGTACCCAGGCTATCAACTCCGAGGCTCAGGGCTGGTGTCGTTGACCGTTCGTGCGCCGGTTCACCGCCTCTGCTGCGTCGGGCTACGCTGGCAACGAGAGAGTTTGTTTGCCCGTTTCTCCAGGCAGTCACCGTATGACGTCACACCAGGAAATCAGTGCTCGAACCTAGAGTGACGTAATCCCAGCCTAAGGTGCGCCGAGGTTAGCCTCTACCAGGCTTCAGGAGGCGACTGGAAAGAGTAGAAATCGGCCAGATAGAGAGATAGCATGCCGGGGAGTTGGTCTGCTGGAGAGAACAGTTTGCCGCACCCAGCAGACCAACTCCCCGGCATGCTATCTCTCTCTATTTGGCCGATTTCTACTCTTTCCAGCCGCCTCACGAAGCCTGGTATAGAGGCTACGCCAAGTTAAGTGGCGCTTTGAAAGTCATTAAAAGAGGTCACTGGCTTTTCTCGGTAGTTTTTTCTTATCGTCAGGATGTGCTCAGAGTACTGGTATCTGTACGGGTGCGGTACGGGTGCGGTAATTCTGTCCTTTGTTCTCTGTACAGGTGTGACAATGAGCTAAACATAACACCCTGAGGGAGGGATTGGTATTTCCCGTCTTTTGGCTGATGTACGTAATTCTTAGTCTCTACCAGGTTTCGGTAGGTGGTCGGAAAGGGTAGAAATCGGCCAAATAGGGAGATAACATGCCAGGGGAGTTGGTCTGTTGGAGAGAACAGTTTGCTGCTTTTCGGGAGGCTACGTCATTCTTTGAGCAGCCGCGGAAGTTCGTACACTCTATGTAATTGAATATTCAGTGTCAAGTGACGGGTTTTATTCGCATAAGTGGCGGCGCTAACATAAGTTACCTAAATTGAGCCCGTCGTCACTTCGTCCTGTACCCTCATTTTGTTTATTGTATGTTAAAATAAAAAGTGACGGGAAAATGTTTCCGTATATACCATTGTCGACGGTCGGTTCTACGACATAGCCTCAAGACAGTATCTATTAGCCAGAGAAGGTCGCCAGCCACCGTTGGTGGGGTAGCGACAAAAATACGGCCATATATGAAAAGCAAGCGATCTTCCCCCACGACCTCTGCTTGGAGAGTACCAAGGGAGTTGGTCTGCTGGAACGGCAAACTGTTCTCTCCCAGCAGACCAAGTCCCCTGGCATGTTATCTCTCTCTATTTGGCCGGTTTCTACTCTTTCCAGCCGCCTCCCGAAGCCTTGTAGAGGCTACGCCAAGCTAAGTGGCGCTTTGAAAGTCGTTCGGGGTCACTGACATTTCTCGGTAATTCTTTGCATCGGCTGGATGTATACTAGTATCCTGTTAAAGTGCTGTGCAGGTGCGTCAAAGAGCTAAATATAACATACTGAGGGGCTGGCATTTCTCGGTAGTTTTTTGTATCGGCTGGATGTGCTCAGAGTATCTAGTTACCGTGAGTGGGTGAGTGAATTAGCTACTCTTTCCAGCCGCCTCCCGAAGTCTGGTAGAGGCTATTGGTAGAGTACTGCACGTACCACCTGTGCGAGTTTACGTCCCAGAAGTGCGCTGTTTGCCAAACTCAAGAACGTGGCGCGAGGTTTGGTCACGGCGTCTTGGTAACTGAAATACTCGTATCTGTTTTGCTGGCGGGATAAGTGTAACGTTTATGTTTTTGAGAGTGTGCCGAAATCAATGAAGTTTTCCGAGTAGTGTTTCTCACTTGTTGATTCATTCATTCATTCATTCATTCATTCATTCATTCATTCATTCATTCATTCATTCATTCATTCATTCATTCATTCATTCATTCATTCATTCATTCATTCATTCATTCATTCATTCATTCATTCATTCATTCATTCATTCATTCACACACTAACGCGCGCGCGCGCACACACACACACACACACACACTAACACACACGCGCGCGCGCGCACACACACACACACTAAAACACATTTAAGAAATAGATAAAAATGGACAGAAACTATGAAGATCATTTTTCCTGCTGTTTTATTTAATACAACATCCGCTTCTCTAGTTAGATTCTAAATCAGACCAAAAACAAATCTCAACACACTTTCAAGGCACGCGTGTAGGTAATCTCCAAGCAGATCATACGGTGGCAAGGCAGTATCTATTGGCCAGAGGAGCAAGTAATTTTTATGGATGACATCAGCGCGCGTATTAATTTTCTCCTGATTTTGAAAAAAAAAGTCGGCTCTTTGACAGTGGTCAACATGCCAAAATGGGCGAAGATGTCTGTTGCCATACCGGAAGGTTGATGGCAGATAGAGGAGACTAGGCTTTGATTTAGTGTTTTGTCTTTAACGTTAATACAGTGATCTATTTCATTCTTTTTTATATGTAATCGTAGCTGTGTATATTTGATGTTACCACTGATATACAATAATTGTTGCAGTGAGAAATTAATGTTATAACAGTTGGCAGTAAACTTAGCACAATATAAGTATTATTCTTGTTTAACTAGGTATATATATTGAAAACCTCGTTAAACAATTATTATTAATTATGCCAAAATTTGAAAATGTTGGAATCTTGTTTTTTGGGGCCTGCCTTATTTTTTTTCCTCCTATCCCATTAGATTTGGAGTCTGTAGATTATGTCATTCATAAAATTTACATGCGTAAAATTTTCGGTGGCCGTACAAACTCCTCTGGCTAATGGATAGCTAGTACTGTCTTGGCACCGAAAGGGATCTGCTTGGACATTATATGTAGGCGGCCATTGGCTGCTTGTCGTCACGTGGATGGGTTCGGTCATGACGTCACTCAGGCCTACAGGAGTAAGCTGCCACGCCCTCCTGGGTGCAGTACATGCCGTCCAGACAGGAGGCGCTGCTGCACTGGTACGGGAACCCGCGGGCGACGGGAGAGGGGTCTAGGTGCACACAGTGTTCACGGGAGGATTTTTCATTCACAATGTTCTACACTAAAATATGAATACTAAGTACAGTACTTAATATTATGTGCTTCAAAAGATGGTAAGTTGCCTAAAATATATCAATACTTCAGAAAATTAAGAAAGCGTAGGTCACTTGAAATCACCCATCACAAAGACATGCATTTATGAATATTCGTATACTCACGGACGCAAACATAGTAGAACACAAAGTCCTGGCACACAAAACCATGTGCACACTGGATCTCGGAACACCAGTTCGTATCTAGAAAAAAAAAACAGACGAAAAAAAAGTAGGAAAACATTTAGACAGAATGTCTTGTCTCGGTCTGAGTATTGCAAGACGAAGGCATTCGCAAGAATATTAAAAAGATGCCAAGCATCACACCAATATTAGCACCATATAAAGCTCCATAGGATGGCTATGTGGCCCGGAACGTAACGTCGCACTGATAACCCTATCTAGACTGGGCTTTATGGATCCCTGGATCATTCAGTCCACACCAACGCCCGCGAACCCGTTTGGTGGCCCTAGCGCAAGCCATTCGGACATCACTGTTGGTGCGGGCACTTTTAGCCCCCCCCCCCCCACGTCTAGATACTTAACGAGGATGGCACTGACAGTCACGTTCGTCTTGCTGCAGCGCTACTGTATTCAGCACCGTGCCTATCTAGTTCTACGTCTGAATGGGTTAGAGTTAGGCATGGTTCTGGATAGTCTCTGCGCATACCAGAACGTAAATTTGGCGCTGGTACAGTGGACTTTAAGCGCCACCTTGCGACAAGGAGAGGTATTGTCCATTCAGACCCTGTAGATAGTTGCTGCGTCATTACGTACAAATGTCGGCAAGGTCCTAGTATTGAGTAGTTATTATTATACTTATTTATTTATTTATTTCAGCTTTATTTACAACAACATGTAAAAAGGTTGGGGGAAACAGGAACACTCCTTTTTAATGCCCCCACCAATATAAACTGATAAGGATTACATAGATTATAAACAAAATAAACAATAACAGAAATCATAACAACACTATTTACAAGGGTGGTGACAAAGAATTAACAAATCATATAATGAACTTTGAAGTAAAAAGAACGGCGAGCCAACGATAAATAATAAATCATTCGATAAGTAATAAATGATACATAACAGGTCAGCAGCAGTATGAGGAAAAACAGCAAATGAAAACAATAACGATAATGATAATGATAATAATAGTAATATCAATTAGTAACAACATTTGATTTGAAAAGGTACCTAGCAAAATAATTCAAATGAGTAATAAATAAATCATAATAATGATAACAAGATATCTGATTGGGGTGATTAGAATGGAGAACACTTGCGACAAGGACATTGAGTAAGCCAGGTGCATATATTGTTGGGATCGAATCTGTTGTTGGTAAGACAGAGATAGTAGACTAGGATTAATTTCTTAAAGGTGGTTGAAGAGGCTGTGGGGCATAATTTTAAAAGTCTAATATTAAGGGGTAAGGCGTTCCAAATGGGAACAACTCTTTGGAAGAAGAAATTTTTATAAGTAGTAGTGAGGCATTTTTTGGGT